TGGTTCTTTCTTGGGAGGTTCAGTTTGGACTCTTCATTGTGGCAAATCTGCTGCCTCGCAGGCTCTGATGCATGTGAAAATTTCTGAAGTTTTTTTGAGTTTTTGCTTCCAACTACTGTTTGCAATACGCTTTGAGGTTCTCAACCTGTTTTTCCCTCCTGGCGGCTTTGCTCTGTGGCACGGTCCTTCGATTGTGAGACAATGAAAGAAGTCATCTTTCAAATCAGGAGAGAAGTGTGTAAGTGTACATTAGTTGCAGTTCTCAACCGATTGATGAATTCTTTTGAGGTTCTGGTTTCAAAGGCTTCTGCCATTCTATGTCCGTTTTTGAAGTTGGCCGCTGTAATAGTATTTTAAAGGTACTCCAATGTCCGCGGCTGCTGGAAACCAACTCATGACCCCATACAAACGCTTTAGAATTTTAATTCAGCGCCTTTTCCAAGACACTACAAAGTGGCAAGGAGTCGTCCTCGTGGCTCAGTTGGTATCGCAGCGTTCTTGACGTCGCTGACAGACTGCTGGTGGTGGTTCGATTCCCCGCTGGTCCGCGAGTAAGACTCAAGACCGTAGACCCGCCGAAAGGCAACGGGCTCGGACAAAAAAAAGACACTACAAAGTGGCAAGGACTCTTTCTTGTCACAAACCACGTCAGGGGTGACAAAGAAGAAGCCTTTTTTTGGTCCTTACAACGTAAGAAAAAGCAGATGTGCAAAAATGAACCTTTCCAGTTCAAGATTCTAGTCGCAGCTCTGGCTGGTCAAATCAGCTTCAGCTTGAAATAAACCCTTCAGCACAGTTACCAACTACTTCCTGGGACTTCAACAATAGTATTATATAGTTTCCGTCTGGATGGCCATATATGTTCAAAACATGAAGCGAAAAAGCTCTCTTTGATCGTTGTCCTGTGCGTTGCTTAGGTAGTCGGATCTAATTATCGAGGGTCTGACATCTGACGATTGCAAGAATCAAGTGTCAAGTGCAAGAGTGCAAAAGTATCCAAGAGACATCGAGAGGATGATCTTTGGACTTTTTTTTGATTTTTGGACTTTGCTTGATGGACTATCTGGGAATGTTTGTGGACTGCTTGGAATGGATTTGAGCGAGCTTGATTCGATTTCCGCCGCGATTTGTGTGTGTGTGAACCATCTGTAAAGATGTAAAACTTCTAATTATGCAGGGGGCGACAGGGTCGCTGCATGGCTGTCGCCAACGAAGCTCCATGCAGTTGACTAGGATATGGAGTCTGATCAACCCCACGTACCTGCTTCACTTCTTCGTTATGGGACGTGGCTAACCCAAGAACCACCTAGCCGGTTTCCAACAATCTGTTTACTTTCCTGTTTGCACGGTTTTCGCAATCTGATTTACTGCTGACATCGTCAGATGGAACAGTTGCATCTAGCAAGGACGTAGAAAGAATTCTTCTTCACTGTTTCTCACGCCTAGTCATTCACTATCTCCCGTCAGGTTTAACTGAAGTGTTTTTGCACGTACGATGCATTCCACATCAGTAATTCGATAAGATGTTTCTGAGCAAGTGTGTCACTCATACCGTTGTCCGACAAGGTGGTATGAGCCCTTCGGGGAAAACCTTTCTAGGCTAAAAATTGACGGTAAAACGATGTCTGAATTTACACTTTTGAATTAGTAATTCGTCTCTAAGTAGAGTGAACTGCTGGCCTTTTTTCATTGTTTCACACGTCGGTCGAGTGATTGTTGAAACTGCTTGCCGCAGTACTGGGCATCACCTTTTCCTTCTCCACCATGCTCCACATAGCTGGAAGCCGCGACAACAACCTTCCTGTTGCTTCAAGAGACTGCCCGCAGCCATTTTGACATGGAACTTCAGGCAAGAGGACATGCTTTACAGGTGTGGTCACTTCTTTTTGGTTTCTCGGTGAGGTTCAACTGTGCACGTAATTCCTAATGAGGGGATCTCTGCACGTCCATGTGGATGCATCATGTCATTAACTAGTTCCCCATGGGTCCCCTTTTTCATGTGTTCTTGCGTTCTCCTCTCTCCAGGTAGGTTTGGCCCTTTGCGTGCTGAGGTTGATGTAGGTTTTCGCCGTGTCAGGTTGGTTCAGGCGCTTCTGTCTTCCCCCTCCTCCGCTGGTCTTGTCCCGTTTTCTGTCGGCCTCCGGTTTTCTTTTCCCTTGCCTTTCCAGGGTTGCCCGTTTGGGCTAGGTTTCATGTGTTGGTGTTTGCTCCTTCCTTCTTCTTTTGCGTTCCCCTCTTTGCGTCCTGGTTAAGTAACTTTCATCTCATTGTCATCTTCACCTCATCTTCATTTCCCTTCCTCTTCATTTTCATCTCATTGTCGGGGCCTTAATTTCGTGTTTACTCACGAAGTGATAAGCACCTTATTTCAAAAATGGAAAAACCAAAAGTTGCCAATCTCAACTGGAACTTTTTGGTGAAAGCGTGTTACAGTTTTTTGTCAGTTTCTTTTTTCCCAAACTGTCTGTTTGGTCGTTTCTCAGAAGAGTTCAGTTTTCATTTCATCTCATTCCTCATTTTACACCTCAAGCGGTGGGCGGTGGGTTCCTTCCAGTTTTGGTCCAATGGACCGCGTTTAGCTGGGGGGTGAGCTATGGCAGAGCCCTCGGACTCTGCAAGTGTGGCAGAAACGGCATTTGAGCTGTTTGGAGGTCACAGTTTCGATGTAGACAATTCACCAGTTGGAGATGCTGTTTTTCTTGAAACTGCCAAACCTGGTTCTATTCAAACAACTTTTGGGCGAGATGTTTTCGACAATTTGGACTTTGCAAGAGCCGTGGATTCTTGCTTTAAAGCCTTGGAGTCAAAACCTGTGTTGCTACCTTGGGAGACACGTGCTTGGAGACCCATTTTTCAACAGAATTTTGACTACATGGATGACTTCAGCATGGGTAGCATCTATCGTCCAATTTTGCCGGGACCTGTGGCGGAGCACTCAGTTCAGAAGAAGGTTAAACTGTCACCTCCAGCTGTGTTAACATCAAACTTCTCACGTGCAGTTGTGAAACATCCTGAAGAGACTTGGATGGACAAAAGGGACTCTGAGTTGCAGACAGGGTTGAAACGTTGGCTCACATGCATCATCTCTTGGGACCCCATGGAGAAGGTGGTACAGGAACTACGTGGGTGTTCAACCATTGCAGATGGTCTGTCGTTGCTTCGGGACTACATGGGTACAAAAGCACCTGCAACATTGTACAAGCGAGTCAACAGTTTGGGAATCCTTTTTCAACATGTCAAGCTTCATGAGTTTCCATGTTCTGAACTGCAACTGTACCAGGCATTGTGCGACCTTCGCAGGGCTGGTTGCAAACCAAGTCGCATCAAGGGCATTGTCGAAGCCGTCACTTTTTGCAGATTTGTTTTTGACATTTCAAAGCTTCAAAAATGTGTGAGCAGTAGGAGATGTCTAGGAGTTGCCAGAGGTTTACCGTCAGACTTACCTTGTCAAGCTGCTCCATTAACTGTCGTGCAATTGACAGAGCTTCACAGATTGGTGCGAGAATCAGCCGACGTCTGGGACCGAGTTTTTGCAGGGGCTGTGTTGTTCTGCGTATACTCACGCAGTCGTTGGATGGACTTTCAACATGGTTCGGAGCTCAAGTTGGAATTCGTTGGTGATGACATTAGGTACATATCCTGCAAAGTTTCAACTCACAAAACCATGCATGCTTCTGCTTTTCGTTTTCGGTTTTTGGAGCTGTGTGCACCTGCGCATGGTGTTGTTGATTCTGACTGGATCGGGTGTTGGATGGACGCCAGGGCATCAGTAGGGATACAGGAGGTACATCCCCCTATGCCTGCGCCTTCGGTGGAGGGAAAACCAACAGTGCGACCTCTTGGAACAGATGAGTGTGGCTCTTGGTTGAGACTCCTTTTACAGTTGAACCCGGTTGCATCGCAGAATGAAGTTAGGATCACGTCACATTCATGCAAGTGTACCATCCTTAGCTATGCAGCAAAGCGTGGACTTCCACATGAAGAGCGTTTGGTGTTAGGACACCATGCTCATCAGGGACGCATGGCTGATGTGTATGCACGAGATGCAGAAGCTAGGCCCATGCGCATGATGGAAGAGCTTTTGGACGAGATCAGGAACAAAAGGTTTTTTCCAGATGAGTCGAGAGCTGGCAGACTTGTGAGGGACAGTTCATTGGATGCCGCAGTAAACCTTTCTCCATGTGCACAGCCCGCTGACCTGTCAGGTGAGCTCGAGCAGGTGAAACAGCAGTCAGATGAGGCAGGCTGGGAATGCATATCAGTGGCATCAAGTGCGTCTGAACGCCAATTTTCTGATGCCCAGTCAGAGCATGTGACAACTGATTCATCCTCGGATGAGAGTGAACAGTCAAGTGAACCGCCTGCACCACCTCGTTTGTTTATGCCTCCAACGCCACCTGAGGGTTGTTATTTTTTGCAGCACAGTAAGTCAAAGACTTTACATATAATTCAGGATCACCGTGAAAGATTCCTTGAATGTGGTCGCAAAGTGACCGATGCGTACACCAGGGACTTTCAGACCAGGTGGGACTCCTCAGTCTGTTCAAACTGCCTGAAGCAAACGGCAGGTTTGGCCAGGAGTGGATAAAAGTTTTTCAGAATTTCAGCGGCAGTCAATTTCGTTTTTGCCAAGTCAATCCCATTTTTTGAGCATGCATGAATTTGTTTTCCTCAAACCGTTCATTGCAATCAGTATGGTGCAATTGTATCCATCCAGTTGCTGAGCCACGTGGTGCAACCAGTGAGCTGACCGTGTTGGGTGATTTCTATGTCCCACACTGGGTTCAAGCAACGTGGCCATTTCCAGTGGCAGTACATGCAGTTACCACGTGGTTTCTCCAGTGGTTTTTTGCCGTGTTGGGTGAATGCTCTTCTTCCCACACTGACTCATTACAAGTTTTGTCAATTTAAACTGACAGCCATGCATGTCGACAACTTCACTTTCACATGTCTGGCATTCTGAATTTGTGTTGTAGTAGGAGCGGGAACCCTTGCAAGCCATGTCATTACTTGATTCTGAAGCGGCCTTCAAAAAGAGGGTCATAGAGATCGGTGATGAAGTTCTTTTTCAGACACTGGACAATTCAGGTTTGAAGACGTTCAGCGGTTTGGCCTTTGCATGTGGGACACCGCAGTCCCAACCGGATGATGCGGCCTTTGGAGCTTTTGCCGCAGGATTTTTTTGGGTTCCACCTACACTGGGCCAATTGTCCCAGCTGAGGAGGTTGCACTTCGAAGCTTGCACAATAGTTTTCGCGACCTTGAAGAGCAATGTGGCTGGCGATTTGACCGATGGGATTCGAAAGTTGCCGCCAGCTGAAAAGCAGGCAAGGGCAAAGGATCAGCAGACCAGACTAACTGGCATTACTTTGTCAGGTGAAATGGAACCCAGTTACGCTTTGGTGGACAAGTGCGCCAGCATGAGGGAGACAGGGTCGCTTCTATGGATCCACCCGTCACAATGCACCAAACGTGAACAAGAGGTACAGCAAACTTTGAAGGAAAAATCTCAAGTGCTGAAGATTGAGAACATGACACTGAAAATGGCCGCAGACACAGAGACCTTTGAAGCTGACCATGGAACTGAATTGAAACTTATGTGGTGTTTTCAGAGACGTGGATTGGCATTTGACCAAGCAGCCTTGATTTCTTGGGACAAACATGAGAGTTGGGTATCTGCAATGTTTCAGGCTTACTCTGCAGAGCCACCGCCTTCATTTGCGAAGGTGACCATGTCTCAATTGTTGCGTGCCGACAAGGAGTTGTTCACGATTCTAGCAAGGGAAGTGGAATCCATCCAGCCTGATGGTGTGGGAAACCGACCGCTGGATGAACATATTACAAGGTTGAAGACAGACCCAAGGGTGACCATGCACTTGCTGCCATTGCCTACAAAGGCGCATTCGGTGGAGGCCTCCAACGCTAGCAAACCAGACGCTGGCAAACCAAAGGCAAAAATTAGGCCGGGCAAAAGGGCTCGAGCAACAACGGAGGTAAAGATGCCGGACGAGTTGAAGGGAGGTCATTCAAAGACGAGTGACAACAAACCAATTTGTTGGGCCTTCAACATGAAAGATGGATGTTCAGCCAAGACCTATGGAAACCCAGTGAGATGTTCGAAAGGAATCCACATCTGCGCATTTTGCCGGAAAGGTGGACACACCTTTCTGTCGTGCCGCCAACGCGGAGGTAACTGACTAGGTGATGAGCAACTTCAACAAGAGGAGTTGGAAAGCCCTCGCCAACAGGATGAGGACTCGCGCGAAACAGCAGAGCAAAGTGCGGAGCCTTTTCCAAACCTCGAAAGAGGCACAGAGTGGAAAGATTTGCTATTTGTTGAGATTTTTGCAGGGACAGCACGGTTAAGCCGAGCTTTTGCCAAACGAGATTTTCGAGTTTCATCTGTGGATCACACCACTAAAAGGTCCACAGGTCTTATCACCGTTTTGGACCTCACGAAAGATGAGGATTTACACTTTTTGCTGGACTTCTTGAAAGCCGAACTCAATGTGCTGGTGTATATTCACTTGGCGCCGCCCTGCGGCACAGCTTCAGCAGCCAGAGGAATTCCCGTTCCAGGTTGCCCTCAAGAGATGCAGCCTGTGCCCCTTCGTTCAAAAGAATTTCCTGACGGATTACCGGGGCTCACTGGACTCAATTTGCTGAAAGTGGAAAAAGCAAATGCGCTATATCGCGCTACCGCTGTCATTGTTCAATTCTGTGTTTTGCACGGTATTTTGGTTTCAATTGAGAATCCTTTAAACTCACTTTTCTGGCAGACAAAGCCAATGGTCGAACTCTTCGCATTGTGTGAAGGTTTTCGAGTTGTGTTCGACAGTTGCATGATGGGGGGCCAAAGAGACAAAGCAACCCTGTGGTGGTGCAACAGAATTTTTTTTTCTCCATTGGCGCTGAGGTGTAGCAGAGACCACCAGCATAAAACTTGGACACCTGTTTTTGACAAATCCAACAAACGCTTCAATTTCCCGACGGCTGAGGAAGCGGCATATCCCGAAATTTTATGCGATCGAGTGGCAAACCTTGTGGATCAAGCGCTGCAGCAATGCAATTTCACTAAACTGCAGACTTTGGAACAGCAGATTCATCATCAAAGATCCACTGCAACAAATTCCATTTTAATGGGACTCTTACCAAGAGGGAGGAAATTGCTCCCTTTGGTCAGCGAATTTCAGTTTTACAGCCAATGGTTGGTGCCACCTCATTTTCCTGCTGAAGATTTGGACAAACTTTTGAAAACTTTCCCCAAAGGGGCGCGGATAGTGAACCGCAAACTCATGCATGGGGGTGACTTTCGGGTTTGCGACAGTGTGTTGAAGGATGAGTGCAGCTCTCAGAAGAGCAACTGCATTTGCATAAATGGTTTTGCTGGCGATTTCAAGGCACTTCAAAAAGTGGGTGAGATTCTTTCAATAGGTATTCCAAGGGAACCTGAAGATTTCGTAGCTCGTGCAGTAGCTGCAGGCCACCCCAGGAACTTGTTTGCAGAAGATTGGTCAGCGCGTGACCCTTTCGTGCTGGAAAACTTGTCTCCAAACCTTGGAAAACTTTTAGATCGAAGGAATGCTTTTTTCCGGAAATGGCTCAAAAGAGCAAGTGAGTTGGCCAGCAAAGAGAAAGACTTGACCGACGCTTTAGACCCAGAAGTAGCAAGGGTCCTCAAGGGCAAGAGACTTCTGGTGCTTGAAGAGATCCTGAATGACATCGGATTTCCTGATCGACACCTGGTCAAGGATATTTGTGCGGGTTTCCGCATCACAGGTTGGTTGCGTGACTCAATGCTTTTTCCTCATAGATCAAAGCCACCCCAGTACTCAGTGGATGCACTCCTGCGTCTTTCGAAGGGCCAGCAGGAGCATTTTCAAATCCGTGAACTCAGAAGAAGCTAGTGACGCATCAGTTCGCGCCTGGGAAGGCACAATCAAAGAAATAGAGAAAGGGTGGTTGGTCGAGGACGAAAATCCAGACCTGGACAAGCTTGTGGTTGCTAGGCGATTTGGCCTGGTGCAGAAATCGAAGGTACGAGTCATCGACGACTTCAAGCAATGTGGAGTCAATGGTTCAACAGGCCTTCCAGAAAAATACGTGCTGCACTCCATTGACGCCATTGCGGCCACTTTGGTCCGAGCGTTATCAGTGGGGTTGCCTGAGGGCGAAACTTTGTGTGGCACCACTTTTGATTTGGTGGCGGCCTACAAGCAATATGCAATCCACCCCAAAGACCGTGAAAGAGTTCGCATTTGTGTGAAAGATGTAGAACAAGGTGTGGCCAAAGTGTACAAGATCAGTGCGCTCCCCTTCGGAGCTTCAGGAAGTGTAGCCGGCTTCCTTCGCATATCGGCGGCCTTGGCCTGCATTGGACAGGTATGCCTGGGATTTTGGTGGTCGAGTTTTTTCGACGATTTCCCTACCTTGACCACCTCCTCGATGGCGGCCCAATGCAAGGCTCAGGTGCACTTGTTGTTTGATCTCTTGGGCATTGATTTCGCCCGAGATGGTGACAAAGCTGGCGCCTTCGAGCCAACCTTCAAGGCATTGGGCTTACTCATTGATTTGACTGATTTCGCAGCTGGAAAAGTCCGTATCGGACATACCGACAGCCGAAGGCAAGAGCTGCTGGCCCAGATAGAATCACACCTTGACCAAAATTGTTTGAAACCAAAGGATGCAGAAAGGCTCAGGGGTCGTCTGCAGTGGTATGACACCTTTCTGTTTGGGAGGATTGCAAATTATTCCATGAGCGTGATCAGCAAGAGAGCCACCTCTTGCTCTTTGGATGGTAGCTTGGATCCGCAGCTCCATCGAGCCTTGCAGTTTCTCAAAGAGCATGTCTCCGTTTCGAAGCCAGTGGAGCTGACCAAGTCAGCCGGAAAAACCTACTACATTTTCACTGATGGTGCGGTTGAACCCACGGCAGATGGGTCGCAAGTCGTGGCCTCTGTTGGAGGCATCTTATACAACAATGATGGCGAGGCCGAAGCCTTCTTCAGCGAACGGGTCCCCCAGCTGATTTTGGACATGTTTCTCCAGCATTCCAGCCACCCTTTTTTTGAAGTTGAACTTCTGGCAGTGCTGGTTGCTGCACACGTATGGGCCCCGGCCATCGCAAATTCCTACGTGGTGTTTTACATAGACAACGAGGCTGCAAAGAGCGCTTTGATGAAAACCCACTCCAGCGTTTTGTTCGGCAATGTTCTCACCACTTGTTTTGCACAGCTTGAATCTGAGCACAGTTTGAAAGTTTGGTTTGGAAGAGTGCCATCGTACTCAAATCCTACTGACAAGCCCAGTCGTTTCGAAATCCAGCAACTGTTGGACGTTGGTTCCGCTTTGGTTAAGCCAAGCTGGGATCAGGTCTTGCTTCTAATCGAAAGGAAGGAGCAGACACTTTGATGTGGGGTGGCTAGCGGGTGTCTTACTCGTGAATATTACCCCAATGCGGAAAAAGGAAGTTTGAATCAAGTTCGACAGTGAGCTGCGTGTTTTCGATCATTTTCATTTTTATTAAATTGAAGAATCTAAGCGCGTCGAATTTTAATAGACAAAAACTGGAACAAGCGTTCCATTTGGAAATAAGTGTTTACTCACGAAGTGATAAGCACCTTATTTCAAAAATGGAAAAACCAAAAGTTGCCAATTTCAACTGGAACTTTTTGGTGAAAGCGTGTTACAGTTTTTTGTCAGTTTCTTTTTTCCCAAACTGTCTGTTTGGTCGTTTCTCAGAAGAGTTCAGTTTTCATTTCATCTCATTCCTCATTTTACACCTCAAGCGGTGGGCGGTGGGTTCCTTCCAGTTTTGGTCCAATGGACCGCGTTTACCCTCCCTCTCCACCCTGTGTCTTCACCCCTTCTGTCGAAGGTGCGTGTTTCCGTCCCCTCTGTCGAGTGGGTTCTTCTCTGTCTCCTTTTTCTTCCTTCCCCTCTTTGCGGGGTTTTGACCTTGCCTAGCCCTAAGCCTTGGCTAGCGGGTGTCTTACTCGTGAATATTACCCCAATGCGGAAAAAGGAAGTTTGAATCAAGTCCGACAGTGAGCTGCGTGTTTTCGATCATTTTCATTTTTATTAAATTGAAGAATCTAAGCGCGTCGAATTTTAATAGACAAAAACTGGAACAAGCGTTCCATTTGGAAATAACCACCCTCCTGCGGGAGGGTGTGTGTGTGTGTGAACCATCTGTAAAGATGTAAAACTTCTAATTATGCAGGGGGCGACAGGGTCGCTGCATGGCTGTCGCCAACGAAGCTCCATGCAGTTGACTAGGATATGGAGTCTGATCAACTCCACGTACCTGCTTCACTTCTTCGTTATGGGACGTGGCTAACCCAAGAACCACCTAGCCGGTTTCCAACAATCTGTTTACTTTCCTGTTTGCACGGTTTTCGCAATCTGATTTACTGCTGACATCGTCAGATGGAACAGTTGCATCTAGCAAGGACGTAGAAAGAATTCTTCTTCACTGTTTCTCACGCCTAGTCATTCACTATCTCCTGTCAGGTTTAACTGAAGTGTTTTTGCACGTACGATGTATTCCACATCAGTAATTCGATAAGATGTTTTCTGAGCAAGTGTGTGGGCAGGTCGCGCAAGCCATGGCCTCCTGAGAGAGAGAGAGAGAAGAGCTCTACTGGCTCTTATTGACCGCTTATCCGTAAACTGGGTATTCCATCTGTTATCTGCCTGACTTTTTTGTGTGTCAACGAATTCTCCCGAACAGAGTTTCGATGAGAAGATTGTAGATGTTATCTACTGGACTATAACTCGGCAGATCTATCATATTCGTGAGAAATGTTCCATCCATATAGCTGTTTCGAAGGGACGAGCTGCAAGGAGCTGCGATGACTGCGATGTCTGTCAGGTTGGTCATCCTGAGATTGGAGCGTATCACTGCGATGGTTACCGTACGGTGGAGAAATCTACACCTTTGGGGCTGATTCGGTACCCAATATGTTTCGACGTCAAAGCTGAGTGACCGAATTTGTTTTTGAATTTGGTCGCACAAGTTCGAAAGGGGGTGTGAAAAATCATCTTAGGTAAAGCTAGTGTAGCGATCTTGTGCTTGAACTTGGGTAGTTGTTAGGTGTTTTGTAATTAGTTGTAGGTTGTGGACTTTGGTAGTTTGGACTTTATCTGTAGTTAGCAGGCGATTCTGGTGTAGTTAGTTGATTTCATCTCGTTTTGTCACAAAGAGTTGTGACGTAGTTGCCATTTTTCGTTTGTAGTTAACTGTTTTCAGGTTTCTGCACATGAACGTTTTGCACGAAACCAATCGAAGAGTTTTTAGGAACCAAGAAGCCTGTTTGACACGTTTTTCGATTGGTAGAATCATTTTTGCACGGCTAGGTTTGTAGAGTTCTTGGAATTTCTTCAACTGGACTGGAATCCAGTTTGCTCATCCCACAGAAACTCACTCAGTTTCTGTGTTCTGAACTGTGTTGGTCAACGTGAACGTTGGCTCAAGCCTGCGAGAGCGAAAAGTGTGTGAGTGTGTCACCATGAGACGGCCTGGGAGAGTCGGAGACCGCAGAAACGCAAAACTCTCACTTTTCGTTTTGTTTTGGTTTGGGTTTACTCTGAGCAGGAGAGGTTTGAAAGCGGTTTTCGCGATCTAGCTTTGTGTGTCAAAGTATTACGGAAAAATTCGCAGCAATTGCAACCTAAGTGTTAGGTGTCAGCATGTTCCGGACCATGTTCACTTACATTAGTTACAGTCAGACAGTGAAAAGTCCGAAACGAGTTCACAAACTGATCAACATCGTCCAACAATGTCCACGTGTCACACAAGACAAAGACGAACCCAAAAGACCGAGATGGAAAAGAACAGGACACCGTCACGGAAAACAGAAAAACTCCAGCAAACCATCCAGACGGGACAACGGAAGTATTCACAGCCCACGTCCACTGATTCGCAGCAAAAGGACAGTGCAAAGTGAAAACTTTGGGGAAGGTGCAAAGACCTTCAGGTTGGAGCAAGTTGGATTCCAGGCAGTCACCTGCGATTCCAAAGTCTATCGAATTCAAAACCTTAGAAAAATGCCGTTGAGTTACAATCAGAAAAACAAAAAGTTTCTTAGCAGAATTCCTCAGTGGAACAGCTTGTGTCATGCAATTCGTTCGGGCAATTTTCAACATTCAGTTGCGGCCGACAAACACATAATCTCCCCTTCTTCGGCTTGTACGCTACATAGAAATGATCTCAGCCATCACCAAGTGTTAGTATGCACACCGTGGACCAACCCTACTTTGCGTTCCAGGTTGATGGGCATTTCTTTGAATTTGAAAAAATCCGTCAGCCCATCGCTTGGATTCTCCAACCCTGGAATGTGTCGGATGGGTCTACGCCGTCTGACTAACATCTGGATGAGGCGCGCGCGAAGCTCGATGTGCCGAACGCGGCGAAGCAGCCCCTCCATGGAACTGATTGAAATCGCTGCAGTCACATCATTGCGAAGAACCAACTGGTATGTCCCTGTTGTACACCGCGAGGTACCAAGGATTGTCGAAGGAATCCCATCCAAAATTGATTCCAAAAGCATAGCGAGCGACACTCACTTCTTCGAGTTTGTGTCATGACACATAATTCGGCTATTCTACGCTACTCAAAGCCGGGCACTCCTGCTTTCTAGAAAACACCTTGATGCAGCAACCCTGAAACATCAAAACTCTCCCTGACACGGAGGCCACATTCCAAGACGCGTCGCAGAAACCAACACCGGTTCGCGGTCCTACGCTTGGCGATCCTTCGGGGGAAGGCATAGTCTGCACGCGGTGAAGACGCGTCAACAACCAACGCAACAATGCACACGAACACGCTTCCGCTGCACCTGTTGGCTTCGACTGAAATCGCACAAGGTATGAAAGTGAAGAAAACAAATCAGCTCTGGACAAAGGGGCCCACGGCAACTGTCCCATCCAGTTTCGGTGGTGTTTCGTTGGGTTTCTGTTTCTCATGCCAGCTGTCGATGATCCCTATCATGTACGCCTCATTCACCCCCAAACTTAAGCAAGACTCCCTATCCCTTTCCCAATGGTGCTCCCTAAAAACTGAATAACACCTCTTCTGAGTGCTGGAGGCTTGCCCGTGAACTTGATCTTCCAGATCCCCCTGAGCTTGTGAAGGAATTCTGACCCTTCTCTTTCGTCATGGGAGGAAACTAGGAGATCATCTACGTATACTATCATTAAGATGATTCCCTTTGGGTGGAGATTCGAAACAGCGTGCTTTCGAACGTCTCCTGTCCACCCATTTCGAACGCCGTTTTCTGGAGCTCCAAAAACCAAAGTAAGGCGGCCTTTTGCAAACCGTTCATTGCCTTGTACAACAGGACAATGGTCATGTTGGGAGGCATAAGGACCAGATCACATGGATCCGATTCAACCGGAGCGTTGATAAATGCAACGCTTGCGCCCGCTGTGAGAAGGCTCAAATCTTCAATGACGGACGCAGCCAAGACTTGCGACTAGTGGTTGTAATTAGGTCCTGGTCCATTTTCGCATAGGAAAACTGTCTTCACAAGAGGCCAAGTTGCAAGCTGACATGCCGGACAGAAGGAGCAAGGTTTTATGCAAGAAACGCATACGGTAGCAGACAGAGCCCGGCTGCAGAGCGTCCAGAGCTCAGGAAACCTAGCAGTGGACCGTGGCGTCCATGAAGCCGCTCTGAAAGAGAAGGAGCGAAGGTTTCTAAGGGGCCCAATCCCAGTTAGTGACGTTCCAACTGGTAGCACCTTGGCCCGCCGTTTTGGTGTAATCCAAAAAAGAAAACGTAAGGCCCATAGACGATTATAAAAACCAGTCTGGTAAATTCAGCCGTACCCCAGGTTGAAGTAGTCACTCTTCATGGGGTTGATCACATAACTTGCATGGGTGCCTCCATCTGCACACCCTTTGCCAATGCAGGCCGCAAAGAGGCCCTGCTTGCAGAGTGCTGGGGCCTTGCATCGGCATACAAGCAAATACCATCACAGTCACTATCAGATGAAGCAAATAGGTTTGGTTCTTATTCAGTGGTCTACAACCCTGAGACTGGAGCGCCAGAAATTACCAGCAAGCAGTTTTGCTTTTCGGGTCTGTTGTGCAATGGGCATCTGGCATATCGGCAGTAGCATCTTGAAGATTGAAACTGATTTGGTCGTCTTACTTGTTTCCTGAGCATCACGACTGACAACTTAACCAGGCACACTGAGATATGTATCTCACCATGTTTCCATTTGTTGGGTTGGGACCTGTCGGAAGACAAGTTGGTTCCTTATTCCCAGTGTTGCAAAGTCACAGGGGTGGAGCTCAACATGGTCAAGTCCCCCCAAGCGTGCTTTGATGTCTGTAACACCCAAGCCAGAGTAGATGAACTCAAGAGTTCAATGCAAGCAATTTTGGATTCAGGCATGCTTTCAAAA